GTTTGTGAAGTGCTGTGCCACTCAACTTGAGTGTGATTCAGTTTTAATGAGATGGAGGTGAATGAGGAAGCTGGCCAGCCTTCATAGAGTGGTTTAAAAAAAAAAGAAAAAAAGAAAAAGAAAGTTGATGCTCATTTCTCTCTTCTTCTCATCTTTCTAAATTTAGAGAGAGGTAGCATCATTGTTGGCTGTTTGGAAAGATGTTTTTTTTTAGGGAGGGGGTTTATCATTAAAAGTTAGATTGACACCATACAGGCTGAGCTCCACAGGGAATGCAGTGGATGAGTCACAGGACCTGCGAGAAGTTAGATTTTTGATTAACGCGGTGTTTTTCTCCTCCTTTACTCCTGCATACTAAACAGCACGCGTTGTTTTATTATTAAATTCAATATTGTTTTTCTTTTCTTTTTTCAAGAGTCGCTGCTGCTGCTTGCAACTCACTGGGCTGCCATGCAAACACTCGCTGCGTGAAGTCTCGTCAGGTTTGGAGGCGAGCAGCTCATTGTGGCTGTGGAGGAGCACGGAGCGGCTGCGCGGTCCGACGGTTCCGGCAGGATTCGGTCTCTTGTTTTGAAGTTGATTCCGACCTTACATGTGAAATGTAACGCGGATATTTATTTTATTTTAGAGATTAATTGCTCTTTTTTTATAATTTGCATGCACTTGCCTCTCGGTCCGGCTCGCGGCGACAAACAAAGAGAAATCCCCGCTCGGTCCTCCTGTGGACACATGAACACTTGGGCGGTGATCTGCGGGCTCGAACTCGCGGCGGCTGCCTGGCTGGAGGGCAGCGACAGGAGTTTGCGAGACTTGTGAGCCAATGTGAGGCGGACACTTCAGAACCAAGGACAGATCCAAACCGCTGCCTGGCAAACATGCCCAAAGTGAGCAACATCTGGACGCGGCTCGTCACATGAAGCTCGGCTGTGGGAAGGAGAACCAGGGGAGGGTTCGGCTCTAAGTGCTGCAGACCAGGTGAGACTCGGCCCGGCTTTTTCTTAACTTTGATCTGTGTGTGTGTTAAACGTGAGGAGGTTTTTTTTTACTTTGCGCAGCTGACGCGCCTTTTGCGTTTTTGACGGTTCGAGGCTATCCTCAAACTTACTGCATCCGATTTTCTGATCACTTATTGGCGGGACGTTTTCTCTTATTCCACACGTGAGAAGTCACCTGGAAGCACACTGACAGCAGGCGGACTGACTTTATCATCAGTGGGAGTTGTGTTCTGTCATAAATAAAGAATTACATAATTCACAGGTTCTCCTCAGACCAATCAGAGCTTTTGTTTTTAACTGACTCCTGCTGGGAAACTTGGCTGATCTGAAGTATTTATTCAATGCAGTTCATCTCACCAGAGGGTCAGCCAAGGTGTGATGTTTCCCTGTAAGAAGCAGGTTAGTTATTTTAGACATATGCTATTATCATATTATGAGATGAATCCTGCAGTCAACAGACTAAAACAACCTGTTGTCTGCAGCTTCGCTCCTATATCCTCTGTTTTCACCCTCTTTCGGTTTCAGTATGTGATCTAATTATCTCTGGATAAACATCCAGGTGGGATATTAGCACATGCAAATCATCCTAGTTTCTGAGAGCTTAACAGCCTGACAGCCAGATTCCCCTGCGCTATTTTGATAAAAATGATGCATTTGATCTGTGTTCAAACTCACAATCGGCTGGCTGCCGGCCACCACAGAGGCATCCTAATTCCTTCAGCTGACAAGTCCAGGTGGGGGGATAAACTGTGTCCCCACTGGAGATTATATAATGATGGGACTCGTTGGATGAGTTAGGGAGTCTGCAGTTTTTCTCCCCATTCTTTTTGTGTTTCATTAGTCATGTAAAAGGGGGTTTTCTTTGAATTGGGAGATTTGTCTTGGACTAAATAGTGCAGGTTCGCAGCAGAATGTGAGAATCTGGTGTCACGTAAAACAGAAAAGATGAAATGTTAGATTTACATTGTTTGGCAGAAAACGATGGCACTTTGTCCTTAAATCCATGTTTTTGTTTTTGTCCCCATGCATCATTATCCTGATTTTTGTCGTATATTATTATCCTATCAGTTTTGGTCACAAACATTGGGAAGCAATATTTTAAATGTCATAGGACAAGAGCCGTATTTAGTCTGCCATTACTCAACAGGCTTAATGATTCATGTGCAGTGGATTAAATTAAATGTCATGTCATGTCCTCTAAAGTATTCGATAAAAGTGCGCGCAGACTCTGTCCAGTTTGAAAATTTGAGTTGATGCAGTGATAATACAGTAATTATTAAAATGATGATCTGATTATTTTGTGTAACACCCCATCATGATAGATGTTTTTATCTCACGCAGACTCATTTCTTCAGCTCGTTTCCTAGACATAAAAACCATTGTATTTCTCCGTAGACACATGTACATAATATGATTATACACGCCAATCACCATCATCGCTGAAAGCCACTCTGCAGTGAGTCATATATCGCACACTAGCTATATCTGGAGAAGGAATAAGGACAATAAGGAATGGCGTTCTCAAAACATCTTTATGCTAATGTTGGAGAAATCCTCTCTGTGCCGGGCAGGAGCAGTAATGCATTAGCTGATGGTTCAAAGCTGAGTAAAGCACACTGCCTTTTCTTTTTGAACTTGCCTTTCAGAGGGAATATTGTGCGCAGACAGCTGGGGAGCGAGTGACTCTCTTGGCTGCTGAGTGTGAGTGTGACAGCCGTTTCAAGATAGTTTTAATGATGTGATCGAGGCCTGATAAAAGCTACTTTAATACTAAGCAGAAACTGAGATTTAATGCTCGTGCGAGCTGATAACGCCGCTCCCGTTTATTAAGTGTTTCAAATGATTGGAAAGGAATAGGGTTTTGATGGATGTGAGTCATGTCCACTTCCGCCTCTGAAGCATTTATGTGCAGTTCTTGGAGGTTTAAGCGGCTCTGCTGGACCTCCAACCTCACTTTGGCTTGGTCTGCATAGGGTCTGCCTAATTGGCTGTTCCTTATTGCACCATTAATTCACACTGTGACCTGGTCTTTGCAACCAGAAAGCTCCCATCTGCTCCAACAGACAGCATCGAAGAGCAATTAGACTCTTAATGCTGAACTCTTCAGGTTTTTTTTTTTTTTTTTCCTCACCTTGCTTCTAATAATAGGGCAGCAATACCAAACACCTGCACCTACTGTTCCAGGACACACACACCAGATCTGAGACGGATTTTACATTACGACTTCCATACATTACCGCACGTAATCCCCTGTGATGGATGGAGGCTAGTTGATCCATCAGTGCACCATAAGGTTTCCCACCCACAACCTGATGTAATATTTATCTGGGGACAAGTTCAGCATTCATTACACGTTTTCTTCCTCGTTTCCTCTGTTGTTGGCTGCGTGCACTGCTCTTAGGATGTCACGGGGTATTCTTCAGTGTCCCTGCAAAAGCATGCACATACACCACATGAACTTATCTGTTTGAAGCTGCAGAAGCTTTTGTAACCAACCCCTGCATACCCCACTGTGATGGTTTTCTGCCTCTGTGAGCACAGGAAAGACTGAACGAAATGACTGTTGACAGATCTGCTAATAAAGAACTAATAACGCATTTGTGGTTGTGCAAGTGACGCGTTTTTTTTTTGCGTATTGTTGTAATGTCACTGTGCGACAGAAGGGGAGAAGTCAGTAATAAGCTTCCCGTGGCTTCTTAGAGGAGAGGAAAGCGGCAGCACATCAAATAGTCCAAACTACAGCCAGGCTCTGTGTTTGCCAGCGTGACTCCTGTAAAATCTCACCTTGGATTAAAAAAAATGCAAAACAGACTCACAGACGGCGCGTGTTGACGTTCTGTGGCGTGGTTGCATCGCCGTGACTTTCAAATCACGGGACTGACATACGCTGTGATAAAGATAGTAATCCTGAGAAGTGTACAGTCACGACGTAGATGGACTTGTGTTTGTGCTGAAGTTGTTTGATGCATGTCATGAATGAACTGCAATTAAAAAAAAAACCCAAAGCACAGGGTTGTTTCCTCTTCCTCCTCCTCCTCCTCACCAGCTCTGTGACTGAACCTCCCTAATCCGACACCGTAAAACTCCCGGTGAGGTCCGCACCTGTAACCTCAACATGATAGGAATCTATATTAGCATACATGTCTCACTGCCCACTTCCCTGCAGTCCAACCCTCGTTTTTTTTTTTTTTTTACCCACCATGTTTCCATGGCAACCCCAGCCATTGAGGAGTACCTCCGTCTATGTGATATCTCAGTTGTAAGCTGGGAAATTATGCTTTGCTCGAGAGGTGCCTTAAATATCTGTAAATGTTTGATGCGGTCACTCGGAGGTGGTAACTCCGAGTTTGTCTTTCACGCCGAGAGCCCGACTGAGATAATGCTTACATCTGTTTCACTTCACAAAGTGACTCCGAAGGTTCACGGCTCAATTTCAGCCTCTTTACAAAACCGTCTCGGGGTTTAGACTGTCCAATAAAACCATTACTTGTCCGTAGCATTTCTATAGATTGCAATGAGGTGAGAAAAAGCAATGTGGTTCTGGTACGAATCGATAAAAAAAAGATAAGAACCACTTGCGAGAGAAAGTTTATATATAAACTCTTGACCTTTATAGAATTATGTGCCTGGGTATATGGCTGTTTCATATCTGTGAATAAAGCTGTGGGCGAAAACCTAAACAAGGATAATGAAAATCAGTTACAAATGTGCAAATATACCGACTACGAGGCACAAGTGATGCACAGACATACGAACATGTTGTTACTCAGCTCTGCCTCTTCTCCTCTTTTGTTAAATCGTATTTTCTCCCTGTGGATAGATCCTCAGTTTAGCTTCACAATTCTCTCTCAGCTGCTTAAATTACTTTTTTTCTTTCATTCACTCAGGAAATATCAAACATGCTGTACTCGCTCAGAGAAGACCTGAAAGCAATCTGCCTTCAGACTCTGTGAACCTCTGCTCCTCTCTACTTCAACCAGCTAAACCCTGCTACCTGATCCTGCCATGCTGAGTGCGGTGCTCTGCCCCAAGTCGCAGGCCAATTCTGCCCATTATTGGCCTCTTCACATGTTCCTGCTGGAGCTGCTGATACCGGGAGTCCTGCCCAGCATCTCCAGATTACCGCCCGCAGCCAAACGCGAGATCATCATGGACGGGGACTTGGTGATTGGGGGCCTGTTCCCGGTGCACGAAAAAGGTGACGGGATGGAGGACTGTGGGAAGATCAACGAGGAGAGGGGCATCCAGAGACTGGAAGCCATGCTGCTGGCGCTTGATGAGATTAACTCCAGCGATCGCATCCTTCCCGGGCTCCAGCTGGGGGCCCACATCCTGGACACCTGCTCGAAGGACACCTACGCTCTGGAGCAGTCCCTGGACTTTGTCAGGGCCTCTCTCACCAAGGTGCAAGATCCGGGTTTCATCTGCCCCGACGGCTCCAGACCCATCCAGAATGAGGTTCCGCTGGCCATCTCTGGAGTCATTGGAGGATCCTACAGCGATGTGTCTATTCAGGTGAGTGTACCAGTCCGTTTACCTCACGTTTATAGAGCTGCAGCACTGAAATACTGACAAGCAGTCCAACATTCACGCATATGGTGCTAAGATCTTTGAAAAAAACTGGGATGTTGAGGTCATGGTGGGAGATGGGGGGGTTTTGTTGATGACCTGCAATTAAAATTTTACCTATTTATTCCCTGTTTTTCACATTTTCTAACTCTTGCCATGTGTTTTAGTTGTGCAAACCGAATCAAAGCTAACCTTGCTTGGTCATGTTTTACTTGCCATGAACACGACCGCTTCCTTCCCCGGACTGTAAGATTGTTGTAATGTGCAGCGAAAACTAACAATAAAGATAATCCAAATCTCACGTACTTCAAACAAAGTCGTATTGTTTCTATAAGTGTGTAACTATATATGTAGTCCCTTCAGTAAATTGTCTTTTTGCAGTTTCTGTAATTTAGACATTTCTGCAAATGTTTTGCCACCGAACACTTTCATTCCTCTCAGAGAACCCAGACTTTACTCATTAAATCACTCCAGTTATTCATTTATGCTCTCATAAACGGGATAGCTGGCTGGATAAACTCACATCTGCATACAGACTCGCTCACTCCATTCCACAAATTCAGATAATTACTAGAAATTTCTTGCGTCTGCCCTTTCTCTGTTTTCTGAGCGGGAGGACTGAGCCATCAGTAGATTCTGCTTTGGCTGAGGTGAGAATCCACCAGGGATGGTTCTGTTTGAAGCATCAACATTCAGAGAAACATCCATCACTTTGTCAGCGACTTCATTTCCGCCTTGCAAAGAAAATTGACCTTTCACATGCGTATGAAAGGTTGCCAGAGGCAATGCATCTGAGCATAATTAATTAATTCTGATTGCTCTCACACGCCATAATTACAACGATGCACCGGGTGTTAGCGAGACAAAGTGTGTAGGAATAATATGGTTACACTTTCCATTAGCTCCAGATAACAACACATCCACCATATGCAAACACACGCACACGTACACACAGAGATTAAGGTCTGTTCCTCTTTGTGGCAAAGCCTTGGATAAATTATACACATGTAAAGATCACTTTCATTAGCATTAGCGCTGCGGCTACGCCTAATGCATAGTTTAATCACAGAGACCTCATTTGGCCTCACGTACTGTCTGACCCAACGTGTTTGTCATACTTGCACCTGTTACCTGTTTAGTACTTAATTATTCGAGCTAATGGACATTTATTATCCACAACACATATTATTCATCTGAGCTCATAAATGACGACAGCGTTGGTATTTGGGTGTCTTCTCTTTTCTGTGCCACCCAGGTATGTCTGAGTACGAATCGGCCTCAGAAGAACAATAGTGATATTTTTGCCACCGGAAGTTTTTCAGCTTCACACAATGCATTTAGTTTCCTGTGCTCCACATCCGCTTGTAATAAAATCACTATCGTGGTTGACCAGAAATACCACTGGTGGCCCTGCCCCTTCACATATTTTCTCCGGTTGAGACGTGGAACTGTGGGGTACCTGAGATTGGTTTGTTCAAGTGGTGCAATTTAATGACTTTAACACGTTGGTGAAACAGCGAGGATTACCAGTTCTGCTTAATGGGAAAATACACCCCCTAAGGATGGAGTGTTGGCTGGTGGATATATCCTGCTGAAAATACAAAACAACAGCTTTTTATCTTAATAAAACGATATAAAAACAGCATCTTGAAACAACTATTATAGGCTGCAGCCATAAAACAAAACTACTCAGACAATAAAAGTCACACAATAGCGCTGAAATACTAATGAGACAGTTCACACTTGACAATCGGTTGTTTTTCTGCCACACATTTGCTTCACCTGCCCGTCTTTCATTCACAGTTTATATCGAATTGTATCATGTTTTCCTATAAATCTACAGCAAAGAAACCTTGAACTTGGTTTAAGAACAAATGAAGACAGGAGGACACAAGAAAAAAAAAAAACCCTGCTCCTACAAGCCCTTCGAAAGCTCACTAATTAGCACATATTCTGTCATTTGTTTAATCGGAGTCTCGCAGAGTTTATGTGCAGCCTGGTTCAGATATTAAGCTTCTGGCTGCAGCTTCATACATTGCAAACAGATAGAAGTGTGATATTGATCTTTTTCATTTGGCTAACTCGAGAAAAACAAGCCAGTAAATAAGCACATTTTCCAAAATGTCAAATCAATGTTTTAAATAACTTTGAATCCTCTCTGCGGAGTTATAAAAGTCTTTACATCTGAGGTACTGAACCTGTACTTTATTTGTATTTTCTCATATCCCTACACAGTAAGTAATATGGCAAACACTGTTTCTTGAATAAGTTTAGTGCTGCAGCCAGATTCATCCTCAGATACGTTCTTGCTCTGCAGAGATGAATGCGATTCATCTCAGCATGTTAAAGATGAAAGAGGAGTCAGACTGGACCGGACTGAGGATTTCCACCACCGTGTTCTAATCGTCTAAAGCCTCCATTACACTCAGGATTTCCTCTCTTAGAAAGCAGTGAATGATATGGATCTTCCTTGCCTGTAATGCTGATGACGCTTTGACAAAAGAACAGCGTGTTTTTTTTTGTCTCCCTGTGAATGAGTCTTCAGCAGCCGCAGCCACAAAGGCCTCTAAAGGAAACTCTCTGCTTTGGAGTGTTTTTGTATGAATCTGAATACATACCTCGACTGTCACTGTGCTCAACAGCCTCTTTTGTCGGTGCCCTCACTTCCTGGGCGGCATAATGAATCGAGCCGTGAGAGTGTCTCGGAGCCCACGGTGGGATGTTTTTGAGAGGTTACTGGTTAACACAGTCGCTATTTATCCCAGAGGAGCACCTTTTGTTGAGATGAAGGACGTTACAAAACTGAGGAGGACGAGTGCCAGGGACTGTCCTGGGGAACTTTGAGAGGAGCTGCTTTTCCCATCCATGGGGTGCATCTCCATTGGCTGGCCGGCTGGCGGGGATGCGTCCACCTGCATGTGGGGAAGCGGCTGGTGCTGCCCGGGACGGGGTCAAGGACGAGATGTGGTGAAGACGGTGGGAGATGAGCCAGCTTCTCTCCAGCCTCAAACGAGCCGTTCATAATTAGCCCAGCAATATTTGGGAGGCTTTCATCATCGTCTTACTCATCTTGGTGTATTTTGCTGCCCTTGTAGCGTCTCCTCACTATTTAAGTTCCCAGAAAAAAAAAGCTTTTATTGCCATCTGGGATGTTGGCTGTATAGAATCAACCATGAGTGATGACTCAGTCCAAACAGCCTACACAGTTTACAGCTATGAATTGAACCTAGCATTATAAGGAAATAATTAAAAAAAAAAAAAAAAAAAAAGAACAATGAAAGCTTTTTGAACTATTCCCACTCATTTCCTGGACAAATAACACTAAGAGGAGATGCGTCTGTTCAAATCGGCGAGGCGTTCTGCTTTAGTAGCCGCACAAATAAAAAACAGAGATTTGCTCAGAGGCATAAAGTCACAACATGAACTTTATGCAAATATCTTTAGGCGCAAATCCACACAGGGACCGTTGCATGAAACCTTAAATGATTTAAGAACACATGCACACAAAGACGCAGCAATAATCAGCAGCCTCCTTTAAATAAAACATGTAATATTGCAATGCCCACAATTCCCTCTCCTGACAGTCAGAATCCTAAAAATTTAATATCTTATCCTCCAAAAACATCTCCTAAATCCTTTAAGACCATTAGACAAACTGTTGTACCACCGCCGAAGCTGCAGGGACGACCCTCAATAATTTGAGGTTATAAAATCTCTCCTGCCGTATATTGATGTTTAATATTTTTCGGTTTGCTGTGCTTTATTAACTGTGTTGCTGTGGAGGTAGCGGAGAGGGCTCTGTCTTTATTGTGTTCCCGTCTGCACAGTCTGGTGAGAAAAAAAACCTGCTTTGGTGTTAACTTCAAAAGGGTCTTGTTTATCATGTGATATTATATAGTCGAATCCCCCTCCAACTTCTCCACCCGCTGCCGCCGCCGCCTCTCCTCTCCCTGAACCTGTTATTTATGAACTGGAAATTTTAGCACATTTGGAGAACACATCTCAGCTCTCTAATTAGCACATCTGAATGTCATTCAAAGTGAAGAAAACATTGTAATGACTGGAAGGTTGGTTACAGTCAGGACCCGCACGGTTAATAATAACTGCTATCGGTTTCTAGATGCTCTTCTCTTCATCTTGTCTGTCTCAGAGCTGATGCTTGTTTTTTTTTCCCCCCATATGGTATCACAGGTATAAATATTCAGTCTTCATGCAGAACCTGTGGCTGTTATTTAAAAGTTGAGGAGTATGTGACAGCAGCACCGCATTTCAATCTCAATAACAGTAAAAAAAAAAAAAATTACCAGACTTATCAACTTTATTTCATAAGTGCTGGAGGCGAGAAGTGATATCTCAAAGCTTAGCGCTAAGAAGGCGATAAAGAGCAGATGTATCCCTGGATTCAAGAGCAGCTCGAAAGGTTGCGCTTGTGGTGAGTATTGTTTTGCTGGTGGGAGGAAATAATACTGTAGATGTAAGTTTAATGTGAAGAATTGTCTGTTCCTGAAATAGCGCATGCAAGCAAATCAAGACACATTCCTTTCTGCCCGTGCGTTCCCAGCTACACAAGCACTGATATCAGATTTAGATCACAGACATCAGTGACACAGACATGAACACATTTATATATATACGTACATCTGCAGAACTTTAATGCATTTGTGTTGCGATGTTTGTGCAACATGGTCATCTTTAGAAGTTGCACTGGCTCTCTGTGCCATCTTCCTATCAAGTAGGAGGGAAGGTAATGATGGGAACGGTTCTCATGTTCATCACTCGTGAGCGGTCGGACATCTCAAGATGGCAGCTGCCAGTCTTTTTGAGCTACTGCGTCTCACTCATTAGTGGAGATTCCAGCTGTCTTAATCAATAAACCAAGCAAAGCAAAATAGAAAGGCACTAACAGGAGCTGCATCTCTTCAAAGAATATTCACGCTACCTGGCAG